ATGGAATTGCACTGTGTAAAATGAGATTAATTAACTACTCATTACACGTTACTTGCTTGTTCAAAAATTTAGTACTTGTAAAATAAAAAGTTACGTGGCAAGTAGTGCGTAATAGGCAGCTAGATTTACACGCTGCAATTCCAAGTGGTTTATGGAGTTGCACTGTGTAAAATGAGATTAATTAACTACTCATTACACGTTACTTGCTTGTTCAAAAATAAAAGTTACGTGGCAAGTAGTGCGTAATAGGCAGCCAGCTTTACACGCTGCAATTCCAACAGGTTTATGGAATTGCACTGTGTAAAATGATATTAATTAACTACACATTACACGTTACTTGCCAAGTAATGCTTGTTCAAAAATTTAGTACTTGTAAAATAAAAAGTTACGTGGCAAGTAGTGCGTAATAGGCAGCCAACTTTACACGCTGCAATTCCAAGTGGTTTATGGAATTGCACTGCGTAAAATGGGATTCGCAGAAAACAACAAACATATAGTAGTAATGTGTGCGTTACATGACTTATCTATCGACTAATTGAATAGGGGGGCATACCTGTAAATTATTGACTTGCCTTCGTATGTGAGCTAAACTGCTTGGGTTGTAGGCCATATTCGCGAAGACGAGCCTCTCCTCGTAGTCGTACTCGCATAAGATTTTATTGTCGCACAAATAGAATCTATCGCCCACGCAAAACCTGTAAAACAAAAAACATGATATCAGCCCAATTTCTATATTGTATCGTTCAATTGTTCGACGCATCGCTTGCTTTTTTTTGTTACCCTCGTCTTGTTTGCGCCACGAGAAATTAATCAAATATCGGCGGATGCGCCGGGCTTTAACACAACACACACACGCGCGCTCAAAATCCCCCTTTATTTTTTAAATTTCGTAATTGAATTTTTAAATTAAAAAATAACAAAATCTATTTTATTTCGTGCGCATACATACACACACACACTCGACCAATTTTTTTTTTAATTTCGTATTTTTTTAGGGGGGGGGTCGTAATTTCTCTCTCTTTCTCTCGCGTGTTCGCGTTATAATTCAATTAATTTGCACGCCCTCTATTCGCATCTCGCTCTCGCACATCCCCAAAAACAAACGCTCGCGCCATCCCCCCCCCCCGGTACGTGTCAAGGGGGTGGTGTCGGGGTGTGTGCAGGCTCGATTTTAATTAGTAACATATGAAACAATTTACTGTAAAAGATAATTACGACATTAATTTGGGACGCGATACGGATCTGATTTAAATCCAATTGTGATTTATATATACATACATATACAACTATACATACAGCAGAGCGCGAAAAAAAAGTGTATATAATAAAATAAAATCCTGGTGCTCTGCTGCTGCTGCTGCTACTGCAGCACAACAAAAAAATCCAATTTAAATTTCGAACTCATTGAATTGAATTAATTAAAAATCTATACATTCATTTATAGAAATAAAGTGTATGCGAAACGAACGAAAAAAATATCTGTTTTTTATATATTTCAATATACACACGGATGAGAACGTAAACAACGGATTCTCTAAACGAAATCTGATAGCAAAAATATTTAATTTGATTTCATTAATTTCTAAAGTTTCAAGACGAAAATCATTGATGAAATAGTAAACGTCAAAGTCACATTGACTTAGGTTAAAAGTCTGTCAAATTTGCTTAAAGCTAGGTTAATTTTGGGTCAGGTTAGGTTTAGTTCTTTTCTGACGCAAATTGGTATATATGTAATGTTGAATTCAAATTTATAAAATTGTAGCGTTTTGTTAATAAAACAAACAAAAAAATAGGGTTAAAATGTAATTGTTGTCTAGATGTTAAATTAATAATGTATTTGTGGTGGCCTATGCTATTGAGAAACCGGAATAACAACGAACTGGCTAATAAAGGTTGGAGATGGGGAGATGTTAAGTGGATGTTTGTGGGGCTGCAGAGAGACGTCGTTAACGCATCAGCATTAGCGAAATGCAATTAAAACGGAATTATAATTCCTTGTTGCCGGGTGGTTGCAGACGCGCCAAAGGAAGCGGCCTAAAATGTCGTTGGGGTTGGGGAAAAGGGAGGCGATGGTTGCGCTCGGTGTGGAAACTCCATTACAATACCTGTGGTTGCATTGCTGGCATGCGAAACACTCCAAATGGTAAACATTGCTTTTCGCCCGCATCACCATCTCGAAAGCCGGAATCACTTTATTACACGCCGCGCAGTATCCCGTTGTCCCAAATAATCTGCAGCAGAACGAAAACAAAGAATTATAATTAAACGTTGTTTTTATATATGGTAAATGTCTTGCTATAAAATTAGCTAATAAGTACTTGCCAAATATCATGTATTAAAACACAAGTAACACAAAGTCAACTGAAATTATGTATTTAATATAGAATGTCAAAAATAGTGTAATATTTTGAATACAGATGTCGCTGAATAGTTTTCAATTTAAAAGTTGGCAAGTGGTCTGTGTTTAAGCGTCCGTTCCTTAATTATTTCGTGTATTATGGGGAATAAATGTAAGTAAGGCTGAGCAGAAATGAGTTTCGGTCCAGTCTGGAATTGAACGGTGCGAGACGGCGGCAGAGTCGGAGGCGGCGGTGGTTGGTGGTGGTGGTGATTAGGAAACGGCGGGAGGACAGAGCGAGTCCCATTCGGAGTTTCCAATATTTATAAGTTTCTTGTCGTGCAATTTCCTCGCCGTAGATTGCTATAAAATTTACGGCCATAGCGGGCGCCCGCCATAAAAATTACATTACACAAAATTGACTCGGAATAAGATTCCATTCCTATCACGTCGCCATAAAACGGCGATTTATTATTAATTCCCTCATTAAAATACGGCAGCCTTTTTAACCGTTCTATTTTTTTTTTTTTTAATTCCTCTCCACTCGCCCCGAAGCATTTTAAGTTGAAAGTTGAAAATTTGTGATTGTTTCGTTACCTAAGGTAGTCCCGTTTGCAGAGGATGAGGTTGGCTTTGGTGTAGAGGGTGGAACCGACCTCGCCGAGTCTGCAGTCGCAGCAGCCGCACTTGAGACAGTCCTCGTGCCAGAAGAGATCGAGCGCCTTGAGGAGGAACCTTTCGGTGATGCGTTTGCCGCAGCCGGCGCATTCTCGTGCACCTGATCCAGCAGTCGCCGCCGCCACCGAAACGGACGTCGGCCCAGACACGGCCACCGCCGTTCGAGCGCTCGCTTGCTCTCCACCAGATTCTGGAACAACAACAACAAAAAAAAAAAACAACATTACAAATTATTTCATAACTTTTGGTTTTAATGATGAATCGAGATGGCGCTGTATTAGAATTGCAGCATTATATGCAACCCACTGTTAATTAGTATATCTAATTCAGCGGCCGGGGAACCCAAAATGGGGTAAAAATGATTTTTTTTTGGATAATAGGGAAATTTTTCTAATTTCATCTTACCAAACTCAGAGAGCGGTTCTCTGATTACTTTTCAGATCTTGATGTACAAACTGTGAATTAGGTAGTAGATCCTTTTAAATGTGAAATTACTAACATACCAGAAGAACCTCTAGGTTTTGGCAGAGGCAATTCTTGAACTTCCATCCAATACTGTATTCAATTTGAGACCAAAGCAAATCTGTCGTCTTTTTGGTTGTCAAAGGCTGCAAAGGCTTTCAAAATTGCACATGAGGAGGCTGTAAAAAAATTGCTGCCATTTGCAACAACCTACCTCAGTGAACAAGGCTTTTCCACTCTAACGAACATAAAAACGAAAAACAGAAATCGATTAAACGCCGAAGACTGTATATTCAAATTTCCCTAACATCAAAAAGTCCCAATTTTGAAGTAATTATATCAAACATGAAGCAACATCATGTTTCCAAAAACCTGAAGGGGGAAAGTTTTCAATTAATTTTTGGTTTGTTCCCAATTTAAGAATTTCATTTTGTTTGTCTATTACTATTTGTTTACTATTTTCATGTAACTTTTTTTTTTATAAATATGTAAATGGCAATTAATTCAATAAATAATGTTTATTTAAAATTTACATTGATTGTTTTCTATTCAGAATATTTTGGGGTAATTGTTAACAAAAGTTCCCCGACCGCTGCTTCAGTCCAAATCCAAAATCAATTGAAAAATGTTTCATTGTTGCAGTTTCATGAAAATACCGCTGCTACTAAAAGGTTAAGAACCACTGGTATAGAGTGTTAATTCAGAGAGAGAGATATAAATAACCATAAGAATGAATGAGAGAGAGTGAATGAAATGATACATACATTTGGAGGATTGATTTGTCGAGCGTTTGGCGGCAGTTCGCACAGGATTAAAGGTTGTGGTGTTGGTGATGGTTGTGGTGGTAGTTTCAGTATTGAGAGGTGCGGGATGAGCTAGAGGCAGTGAACGTGTGCGTTGATGGCTCACTGTTCCCGGCCAAGCCACATTATTACTATTCCCAGCTGCGACAGAAAAAAAAACAGAAAGATTCCTCCAGTTTTTAAACCTCCCAACAACTTTTCCACACGAACTCAACAAAAACGATTATAAATACACACACAAACACAAGTATTTATTTACAAGAGAACAACAAAATCCAAAAATGGAAACAACAACAATTCATTTAGTGAGGACATCTAATATCAAACCAATAAATCTCTTGTTATATACAGTAAACTAATAGATGATAGTTTATATTTTGATTGAAAATTTGACTCGATTTGATGTTAGAAATCTCGTGAGCAAATGAAGAGGCGTGCAATTTAAATAATAAACTGTTAAAGTTGAAGAAGCTTTAAGCAAAAAAAAACCACCACCGATAGACGATCAACTAATGTGTGTACAAAGCAGAATCGACGAAGCAGCGATGCGAATTTTGCGTTCTGCAGCGGCAAACATCAACAATATCAATAAAGTACTAAACTATTACTACTACTAGTACTACAGAACATGATTGTGACCACGTCTCCTTACATTTTAGATTCTTTTGCAAGCCACACATCCCTAACAGACCAGCAATAGAGTGTCGTCTTTGCGAGAGCTTCAAAACCGCACGTGGACAAAAAGAATGCTGATGCATGCCAATAGCTGCAATTAATATATATGTACATGCTGCGTATAAAAGAAAAAAAATATATGTAAAATAAATTTAAAAAAGACAATAAACATTTAAAAATAATAAATAAAGAAGCCAAACCAATTTGAGAGGGTTGAATGGAAATGAATGGGAAAGAAATCAAAGCAATCAGGTGTGAATGAGTGAAATGTGTAGTGATGTAGTGAAATTCGTTAAAGCTATATCATAATAACATTGCACTTAGCGACCAAACAACAGCGAACAACAACATAAGAAGAACGGAAAAAAAAAGAAGAAAAACAGAGAAGATGCGATCCTGCAAACAACATCTGTCCCCAATTCGAGATCACTTAATTAGGTAACGGCCGCTTGTAGACTTTGCCCTCCCAGGATTGCGACTTATTTCTCTCTTTTAATTTTCTTTTCTTTTCTTTCGTCTCTCGCGTATATCAAGATTCCATACCAGTTGTGTTATTTGTTGTCGTGCAAGGAGGAACAGGTGTTTCGTTGACGTTAGGTGTGTGATCTGTAAGGTAAAGGACACTAAAACTACTGAAAAGAACAAAATAGAAGAGAGAGAATGAGTTCTCTTACATCAAGTCTATCGGGGGGGTGTAAAATACAAAACGACAGCAACAATCATCGGAATTTTAATGATTAGATTTAATTGGATTATGTAGAGTACGCGAAACGGATTTGGAGATTGAATGGAATCGTTTAATAATAGAGGAGCGAATTTATTCCTTCCTGTGCGGATGGAATTAGAATGAATGCGCATAGTTTTGAAGACGACGACGACGATGATTATTAAGATGTTGTTGATGATGATGATTCAGTTGAGAAACATCCGCGAGCGAGCGGACATATTTATATAAAGCTGTTCGGTTTTTAGGTCCGACCATCACTCGGTTAGAGCGTGCAAAAGGAGAGAATACTACTAATACTCTTCTCTTTTGCATAACACTCTCTTAATCCGCGCCTCCCGTTTCTCTCATCCAACAAAACAACGAGATGGAATGCTTCCAATTATACTCTTGCAACACACACATATATATATATACACACTATACACTATATAGATGTGTTCTGTATACTCATATATAGGTGTACGTGCGGCGAATGAATGGCACGCTGCGACCTTTGCGTAATGGAACGGCGTTTTCTTTCGCATTCCTTCTTCTTCACCCTCCACCGATCAATACGGCGCGAAGAAGTGCATCGCATTAACATCTCCATTCCCCAACCCCTTCATTCTTCTCAAAATCATTATTACCATTATTCTAACGCTCGTCGCCCCATCTATCTCTCATTTTGTTTTACTTTTTTTTTTTGTTTTTTTTCTTGACGAAACCGACTGGATTTAAAATAAAAATATCTATTTCAGTGTCTCGCGTATTCCTGTCCGCCGTCTCGCATTGCGTAATGTTTATGTGTCGCCGCCGCCGCCGCCTTTTCTTTTTCGAAACGCTTGCAGAGACGCACGCACATTTGTTTCACTATGAATCATTCTCAAAAAAATCACAGCTACACTTGATATGATGTCATTTCGTAATTACCATTCCTCGCGGACATTTACCAATCGTTACTATTATTACGTCAAAAGTAATTCAACAGATTCCAAAGAGATGGAGGCAATATTAATCGTGTTGACAAAACGCAGAAGACGAAACAAACCAAAAAAAAAAACTCGTTTAACATTTAGATAATTAAGTAATTAATAATTTCGGACTTTGAACCGAAACAGGTATCATCAACGTCAACGTCATTCGTTCACACAATCAAATATTGTTGCAACGTTTAACAAACAACAAAAAAAATAATTCAAAAAAAATCTAAGAAATTCCGATTTATTAAAATAGATGCAAGCAAAGAAAAAAGGAATAAAACTCGAGTATTTTGCTGGATAATGTAATGTAATTTTTATTGATTTTTTTTTTCTAAAACCAGTTTCGTATTTACATTCATGCATGCACACGTCCACCTGTGAAATAACAATAATAAAAAATTTAAAAAATAATTGTATTTTATTATCTTGTTAATGTTGGCGTAACGAGAAACGACGACGCACATTCATGATAACGAAGAGATGAAGAGGATTTATTTGGAGTTGAAAGAGTAAGATGATGATGTTGTTGTTGTTTGTCGATGATTGTTATTCGAGATCCTCCGGCGATTGTTGTTCTGTGTTTGTGCATTGTTTGCGGTGAATGTTTACAACGAGTGTGCTGTGTGTTTGTATGTGAATTGCCGCCGATAGACTTGTTTTTGTTATTGAACTGGAAACATTCTAAACTTTACACCGCTTCAGTAGCTGCGTGTTTACTCGAGGAATATTCCGCGCCGCAGCCGTAGTTCGATTCCGGCGCGTCAATTGCACAAGTTACGATTGTCTCCTTCGTGATTTCTTACCTTGCTGATAGATGTTCGGTTTCGGGGCTCCCGAGGTGGTCTGCCTTCGCGGCATCGCGTTAGGCTTCGAGGATTCGGTTGCCGAACTCGATCTGTTCCTGCTCTTCGGCGCGAGCTCTTCGCGACTGCTGCTGCTGTTCGCTGACATCGAGTTGAACAGAGACATTGCGTCAGACAACTTCTTAAGCTTCGAACATTTCCTTTTGGTTGGTTGATGAGATGAGAATCGAAAAGAAAATTGGAAAAAAAAATGAATTATAAAAAACAAATTAATAATTATGTTTTCGTGTACTCACTGGATGACCGTTTGGTGGACGTTCTGCGCGATGTTACCATCCTCGCAGTCCATCCAGAGTTCGCCAGCTCCGATTAGGCTCGACCTTCCAGCCTGAAAAACGAATTTAAACTAAAAATTTTAAAATTAAAACGTTGGAGATATCGATTTCATAATTTTATACTACTACAATATTTTTTTTTAATTTTTTTTTTTCATAGAAAAAGTAATTTATAGAAACGAGACGCGATAAAGTCGCGACGGGTTCATTGATAATTGCTCTCGCGTTTCCTGTTTGTTCCGCAACACATTTTCTTTTTATCCAATTCATAAACAACAACAACAACAACAATTATTTTTCGAAAAACCGAAATCGCTGAATTTAAAAAAACCGAAAACGGAACGACATTTTAATAACGGTTAATTTCGGTTCAACAGTTAAAAAATGTGTCGAAAAATAATATAGTTGCAGAAAAAATAACAAGTAGGCGTTACATAATTCACTTTGCAACAATATTTGTTTTTGCGGTTTGTGTTGCATAATTATGCTTTATTCTTTTTTTTTTTTGATATGCGATTTTTTCGTATTTTTAAACGTCGCGACCTTCGATAATGCGATTGTGTCTTTTATATATATATATATATATAGAGTTAACCTTTTGACAAATTGTTTGCGGTCGAAACGGTGACCACAGCGCGCGGTTTTACGTACGTAAACATTTAGTGGATACGTTTAATTTAGGCGAATTGATTGTTGTTGCAATTTCCTGGATGAATCCGGTTTTTTTCTTCTTGTTTTCCCGTCGTAAATGCGTCAGTGGGACGTGGGAAGAGAAGGCAAGAGCGAAAATCGATAGACTTCTCTGCCCACGTTGATGATGTGAGGGTAAGGGAGTTGGTTAAGTCTTCAACTATATATTGTATGGAGTAGGCTATGACCCAAATCGCGTATTCGAGAAGAAGATGTTGTAGGTAGTTACCTCGAGGTAGAAGAAATTTTTCAGGGATCCGCAGCTCCGGATGCTGTTCAGGGTGAGCGTCATCTCGAGCGTCTCGTCGTCCATCCTGATCAGACTCAGGGTCTGATCGGTCAGACAGAGTCTGTAGATGGAGCCGTCCGGAATCTTGAAACCGAAGCATTTCTCGGACGCTCCGAGTCCGCGGCTCAGAAGCGTCACCTGCCATACGTGCTCTGCAAAAAGAAAAGAAAAAGAAATGTTAAAAAATTTGACCATCATCAATTCAGTAAAGATCAAGTAGTATAAAATTTAAAAAAAAAACAAAAACAAGAGAAGACGACTTCGATAGCATTCGCCTTGTTATTTTATTCATTGTTTATCAATGGCTTCTCGATTTATGTGTGTGTGTACAAGACCGTGTCACGCAAAACAAGTATGATTAATTTGTTTGTGAATTTATTTCCACACACAAACGCGAAAACACATACAGAGAGTGCGCGCGATCCTGCTGAATCTATCTATTATGTACATATTTGGGAAATTTCACGTAAACAAATCAACAGGTGTATCCACTTCGAAGAACAAAAAAAAAATAAATTTCCTTTGTTTACGTTTCGCTCCACCACCACCCCCGTTTAAAAACAACAGCAAACAAAATTGTTTTCGTTTTTCTTCATCTCTCTCGTTCCCTCATAAACTCGCATGCTTCTGCTGTTGTTGTTGTTGTTGTTACGACTTGTTTGTTCGTTCCTTGGAAACCCCGTCTCCTCATCCCTATCCACCCCCACCCATCATCATCAGATCCGCCCCCACGCGCTTTGTTGCTTACCAACGCAATTTTATTTTATTATACATATATATATATACATTTTCCGCTCGTAAACAGGACGCCAAAATCAATAGCGCCACGGCGCTTCGATCTTGTTTATTTTTCCATTTTTCCGTTTCCTAAAAACGCGTATATCTCCAACCTCCAACGCTTCAATTTATCAGTGACGCTCGCACACACATTTCTCTATCTCCTGAATTCGACTTCCGATTGTTGACTTTACTATCGGAATTCAACTAAATTTACAACACGAAACTACTTATCAATAGCAAACGTTTAAAAATACAATATATCCCATCTGCAAACTAGTTTTAATCAAAATTCCAAGAGTTGTTAATTGAATTGATTCATTATTTATTGTAACGTTTCTTTCGTTTCCTTACGAATCATATTTCTTATTCCATTTCAGAAAGTGACAGCATCAATCGAATCGAATTTTTCAATTGTTTTCCCATTGGCCACCAATCGAAATCAATTGTTTGCTGTTTTGTTCCATCCCTGAAAATTGTTCCAATTAACATTTTGTTTTTGTTGTTGTTGTTTTTCTTGTTTTGTTTTTTTTTTTTTCGATTGATCGCTCACAACTACAGTCGCATTTCGCCAATCGAAAACAATTGAGCGGATTCGATTGATTGTTCTATTGTTTTTAGGCCTTCTTTTCATCTATTTCGATTGCGAAATAAGTGAAATTTTCAACAACTCGAAATCAAATGTTGTGTTTTGCGTTGAAGTAATTAAGAATTATGCAACAATGTAGAGAAGTTAATGAGAATTGAGAAAATGCGCAGAAAACGCGTTTCGTTCGAATTCGACCTTTGTCGTTTCTGTTCACTTTTTTCTTCTTCTATGTTACAAAGAGTGTGTGTCTATTGTTTGCACGCACAGAAATACCGATTATTCACAAAAAAAAAATCTTTTGACGTAATTTTCAACTTTCGTTTTATCCCTCAAGTACGAACTTGTTTATCCGCAAATAATAGGAAACGTAATGGTATAATAATGGTAAGCGATAGCGATGGAATGACGACGCCTTCTAATTCCGCGACTCTTTGTCTATAAATAATGAGCGCGTTGCGCAATTACGTCTCTCCTTCTGTTTGGAGCCAGTCTACACTTTTATCTTTCTCTCTCTCTCTTTCGCACGTGCACAAACACAGTCTAATTTTCTCGCTCTCACTCCGTTTCTGGCCGTCCAGCCTCCAGGATGTTTGCATGATATTTGATTATGTTGTTTACTAGATTTTCAAGTAAACAAGCCGAGCACACTCTAACGAACAATTGTTACGCGGAGTGGGCGACGATCAACGAAACAACAGAACAATATATATATACGTATATGTGTAATAAAACAGCAGCATCAAGTGCGTATACAGCGTGTTTCTAATTTAGAATCCATTGGTCAGTAAATTAGTAATTGATACTCAACGTTACGTTTGCGAAATTTACGATTATCATTGTCACCGACACAAAAACATCTAATGTTATGGATTACTGAGCAAAAAAACTAAACAAATTTCATGTTTTCAGGATAATTTTTCAGGACTTTTGCGTGTTTGTTTCTTTTTTTTTCTCTCACCAAAGCAACGATTGAAATTTGACGATTATTACATCAGTTTTATCAATAAGTAAGCGATAAGTAACAAAGTAAGAAAAAACATAATTTGCATAACCTTTTGGCCTTAATTAAAGAGATTTTAATGAATTTATTACATATGAATTTGTTGCAAAATGAATGTTTATTCGACGCGAAGTTTCGAAATAAGCGATAATTGTATCTAGTAGTCGCACCTGAAACAAATCGAACGACGTTTAATTTGATCCAAAGAAACAAAAACATCCGGAACAGCAGCAAACTTCGATTTTTTTTATAAAAAATTGCGCGCGTCTCTCTACATAACCGTAGGAGAACCGTTGTTGCGTCACGTACGTTTCCACTCCGCGGTCGCGAGTCATTGCCTCCGAATTCAAATGTTTCGCAAATTTTTTGTTTTCCAAACACACACACTCACAGATTTAGAACCAGCAAAAAAAATAAAACAACAAGAGACGAAATAGATCCACTTCATCATCATCTAATCTAATTCTAATTCTCTCTCTCAACATCTCTTACAGAAACTAAAGAAAACTCTCTATTTCTTAAACTGAAAAAAATCGCTTAATTGAATATACGTTTCAGTTAAGATTTCCCTTTTTGTTTTCTTCTAAATCCCGTGCACAATGCAAAAACCGCTTTATCTGCGTTTATCAGTTTTTTTTTTGCATTATTTGCGCAACTATTTTTAGAACTGCTAATGCCATCTCCAAGGAAATCAACGAATTTTCAACAACAAAAATAAAAGAAGAGAGAGACAATCAAGTTTTTGTTTTTTTTTTCTCAGCCGTTTCGATTATAATTATGTACCGACAAAAACAAAGCAACAACAATAAGAGAAAAAAAAGAAGGTAGTTAGTTAGTGATGATGCCCGCCCATCTCTCACTAATTGCGTCTTCTTCTTCTTCTTCGTGGTTTCTGCTCTCGAAATTAACGTAATTTCCTCACGGTGATTAGCACAACCCGGGTTGGATTAATTATCGAGCTTTTGTGGTCTCTTAATTACTAGACTTTTCACGATCACCACGGCACACTCTCAAAACAAAAGCAAAAATAATAAATAAAAAACCAAAATAATTACGTAAGAGGGCGTGTTATTTAATCATCGAATAAGCAGACTCGTTCAAAAGTCGAAATCGAATTATTATTTTGCAAATTGCAAAACGTTCAATGTTGTTTTCATTATTGTTATTATCATTATTATTATTATTCGTTGCCTAACAACCAATGCCGTTTGTTTCTAATCGATAAATAAACAATCTCTAATTCTACTGACTGAAATCACCATGACAAAAAAAAAGTAAATGCAGTTATGAATCTATTTGTTTAGCTTTAAAAGAAAAGAAAAAATAATATGCTGCGACTTCTAAAATTTGCCATTCAAATGATTTGCGCAAGCTTTTATTTATTTATTTATTATTTTTTTCCAATCGTTTGACGCACGCGACTCGTCGAACACACAAATTAACAGCGAAAAGTGCACAATCGAAATGGAACAATCAACAATTAAAAAAAAACTGTTGAAATAGTATTGAAATTGAAACGAAAATATATATAGAGTGCGCGAAATGCGGATGAGACTTTTTGGTATTAAGTAATAACATCATCATCGATTAGGAACGAACTGCTGCTTGCTGGCTGCTCCTTATTAGGAACTCGTTTCTAAGATCATTCGTAAACACTTTATTTTTAGAGGCAGATCCCACCAAACAAACCGAGAAGTACGTGCGTCTTATTTTTATTTTTTTTCCTTTCCTTTCTTTCTTCATCTCCTTCTGCCTATGTAATTCCGTCCCATTCATCTATAGCACGAGTATTTTTAGAACTGTATAGAGAAAAAAAAATAATAATATAATATAAAGATAAAAGAGAGTTGCAATGCAGAAAAACAAACGCGAGGGCGGAATTAACAAGAGCGAAACGATTAATCTTCCAATTAAAGTTAAAAACGAAATGCACTTTATCAATAATGAGCGAAGATGGAAATGCGTCCTTATCGCTTTTGTTTGTTTCGTAACTTTGGAAACCACTCTACTACGCCCTTATTCCGAGTTATTTCCGTCCATGTTTCTCTTTCTCTCCCTTCAAATTCTATCCTTAAAATCATCCTCCTCTCTCTTTTATTTACTACTCTCCGCACACTTTCTCTCTCCCTCTCTCTCTCTCTCTATATATATATATATAGAGAAAGAGAGAGAGTTATCGCATGGACTTCCGAAAAACGTAATCTACACTAACTCTCTCGTACTTCTTTCTTTTTTTCTTCTTCTGTTTTCAGCGCCCCCCTTCGCTACAACTTCCTGCACTTTAAATAGAGAGCAAATCTCGAGGGGGGCGACGGAAATAATCCCCCTTTGAACTCATTCATTTCGTCCTTTATTTTTTTTCTGTATTGTGTTTATTAATAAATCTTTTATTATATTAATATATTTTCGCACACTCATCGCGCGCTACGCTCTCAATTATGTTTGCACTTCGTGGCACGCAGATAATAATCGGCTCCAAAAAAAAACAAGATAATATTTACTAAATAACAAATTCTATGTGTTTTCCTCCTCCACCACAAATTTTCGTTTACAAATTCAACTTTTTGTTATATTTAATTGTTATTGTTGTGCGTTAATCTTGCACGTTTTGAACGTTGTAAAAATCGTTTTCGTTCGCTCTACTCGTTTATAGATATAAGCTCTTGGGTTACAGACGAACTAATATTCTTTGAATACACGCGAATTCGTAACCTTTTAACGCTTGGACCATAATAATAGCGAAATGGAAACGAATAAGTAAAAACCTTTTATCGCCACCGAAATGACGCATTCGCCTTCAACTGTAATCAAAAATCTTTACTACATTCACTCAATAACACTTTGAAGAAGCAACGAAATTATAATGACAAAAATCAACTTGATAATAAACGAAATTTCAAAGCATTTTAAACGGGTTCAATGGTGTTGAACTTCTCTTCTCTTCCTTCTATCACCAGTTTATTTCTGTGTACGTATTGTTGTTGTTCTTCCATTCTTTCTCCTTTCGTTTGTTGTAACAGAACCGCATTATGTAGCTCAAACCAAACTCCTCCATCCGTCCGTCCTTTTCATCGCTCCTTTTCCAACGTACAACACAACACAACACCGACCAAGCAAACGTACACGTGCGACGTGAAACCCGATAAAAGAAATACAGATTTCAGTATAATTTTCATTCTATTATTTCGACTAAGCGTTATTTCTCTAACGAAGCGTAAATTGTATATTTATATATATATATAAATGCAGAGAGCGCAAGTTTTTTTTCTTTCTGCAATCGAAACTTTCCTTGTTTCAGGACAATTTTGTTGTCGATAAATTAGTCATTAGGCGTTCGGTCAGAGTCCGAAACGATCTCTGTTTAACAAAAATAACTTCGTCGTTATCTCGTCGAGTGTACGCGGGGGGGGGACGCGTCTGTTTTTTTTTTATCAATGAGTCGAGATTTTCGTGGAGAAAACAAAACACGTTTGACACACATATCATGTGCGAATGTAATCGCAACGAAAACCACCTCATGCTGATAACCTGTACACATTGAGAGTTTAGTTGCAGCGAAAAACAAAATTCGGATTTCGTGTAATCAAATCGCCGTGTCCCGGGATTCAAATATCTCAGGACACTGTGGAATATCTCGTAGTTGTGTCGTTGTGAATTAATTCATTCATTGGATTCATTCTATCTATTATAGTTTTCCAGTAAATCAATGAAA